CCGAGCGGCAGAAGGACGAGGGGTTCCTCTTCAAGCAGCAGCGGCTGCGGCGGGAGGAGAGGGCGGCGGACGAGAAGCGCCAGGCGGACAAGAAGGGTCCTGCGCCTGGCGCGGGAGGCAAGTAGCCCTCCCGACTGGCGGCGCCGTCGCGCCCAGCGCGGGGCCCCCAGGCGCTGGGCTCGGCACGGCGGCGCCGCCATGCCTGGGGAGCTGAATTTCCGTCAGCATGGAGAGCCCTTTCCAGTTTTGGTACCAGAGCAAGTTCGGCCTGAACTACATGGACTGCCCCGCTACCTCCGACCAAGGCTCAGGAGGCGGGCGAGCCGTGAGCGGCGGATCCACTCGGCGCTGGGGGCCCTCAATGCCCTGGACGCCGGGCCGTCGCGCCCTTTTCGCTCAGCTGGGCGGGGGCGAAGTGCAACAGGAGCGCGCCCCCATCGGACCGAGCAGCCAGTCGGTCTTCGAGCGGGCGGCGCGTCGAGTTGGGGCTGCTGGGCGACGCCCGGCCGACCTCAGCGAGCAAGGGGCCCTCAAGGAGCTCCTGCGCACCAAGGGCCTGCACGGCCTCGAGCCCAGCTACTTGGGCTCGTGCGCCTACGAGCGGGTCAAGATCCTCGAGTGCGGCATCACGGCGCGGGACGTTCTGGACCTAGTGCCGCCCGCCCAGCGCGAGATGCCGGCAGGCCCCGAGAAGCACATCCTCCGTGACGGAGCTGACCTGGAGCGCGCGAATGAGCAGGATACTCCATTCACGCCCTACTGGGACCCGAAGCTGCGCTTCTCCAGGAAGGAGCGCTTCCGCTTGCTCTTCTCGGCTTCGAGAGCTCGGGCTTCTGGGGTCCCGGCGCTCCATCAGGGCGAGGATGGGCATCTTCCTCGTTTCAGAAAAGGACGGGTCGCTTCGACTCGTCGTCGATGCGAGGGGGGCCAACCACGTGTGTCGCCGCCCGCCCCACACGCGGCTGGGCACCATGGCGGCGCTGGGCCCCCTCGACCTCTCGGAGAGCGCGGTCGGCGACGGGGAGCCGCTGGATGTCCAGGCGGCCTCGGTCGACCTCTACAACGGCTTCTACTTGCTCCGGAACCGCAAGCTGGGTTCGCTGTTCGAGGTCGACTTCGCCGAGCGGGCCGCCGTCTGGGGGGGCCACCGAGATCTTCGACGAGGACGAGGAGCGGTCCGTCGGGGTTCGCCCGGGCGAGATGCTGCCCCCGGTCTTCGAGGGGCCCCCGATGGGGTAGTCGTGGGCGCTGCATTCTGCCACGCCATCACCTCCGACGCCGGCAGCTCTGCCGCCAGCCTCTTGCAGGACCGTCACGTACCCGAGGCGCCGCGGGCCGGGCTGGCCTACAGGCTGCCGTGCGTTGGCAACGCGAACATCATCGGCCTCAGTCGCAGCGCCGCTGAGCGCGGGTTGGCCGCCGTCAAGAGGGATTTCGACGACCGCGGGCTCCACTGCCACGAGGAGAACGCGCCCGCCGAGTCGCTCGAGCTCCTGGGGGTGGAGGTGGATGGTCGTCGTCGTCTTCTTCGGCCTAAGCCTCGTCGGACTTGGAGGCTCCACCTGGCCCTGCGGGCCGCACTTCGCTGGGGCTGGTGCAGCGGCCTCGCGTTGCAAGTACTCGTGGGGCGCATCGTTCACCACTGCCAGCTCTTGCGCTTCGGGCTCTCGGTGCTTCACAGGGTGCGGGGCCTCATGGCGGAGCTGGGCAGCCAGGAGGCGCCCCTATGGGCGTCTGTGCGGTGGGAGCTGGAAGTCTCGCCGTGGCTGGTCTCCTTGGCCGAGGCCCGCCTCGGCACCGAGCCGGCCAGCGTGGCTCTTTGTGGCGACTCGTCCTCCGTCGGGCCCGCCCTCCACGTCAGCGCTGTCTCGAGGTCCGAGTTTCGGGCCGTGGCACGGTGCCGGGAGCGGCGGCGCTTCGACGCAGTCGAACGGAGCGACGACGCCTGGGGAGCCGTGGACGGCTGGTCAGCCGAGTGGCGCGCCTCTTCAGATCCAGGCGGCCTCGCGGCGCGCGGACCTCGCGACCTCGGCGGCGGCCCCGCTGCCCGCTGCAGGCCATGGCGCGACCTCGACACGATCGAGCGCACGGCCGAGGAGGTGGGGATCCCGCCGCTGCCAGACGTGCCGCTGGCGAAGAGGCGCCGGGCCATGGTCATCAAGGGCCCCTGGAAGCGCGACGGGGTCATCCATGAGAAGGAGGGCCGCGTGCTGCTCATGGGCCTGGCCTGCGCCTCGAGGCGCGTTCCCCTGCACGGGAAGCGGATCCTCTCGATCGGGGGCAACTTGTCGAGCATCTGCAGCTTCGAGAAGGTGCGCTCTGCCAGCTTTGCCATGAGGCTCTGTCAGCGGGCTGGCGCCCTGTCCATCGGGCGCGAGCTGGAGTGGCCCTTGCGCTACGCGGAGAGCAAGAGGAACCCTACCGACTTCGACTCGAGGGCGGCCGACCGGGGCGAGCTGTCTCGCGGCGCCTCCATCACCGGCCGCCGCGGGCGCGCCGCGCTGCAGCGCCGCGTGCAGGCCCCAGTGCCCGCGCCGCCCCCCGAGGCGCCTCCGGCGCGGACCTGGTCCAAGGTCCGCCGGCCGCCGGCCTCTCGCTCCGGCCCGGGGCGCATGGGGCCGAGGCAGGCAGCCGAGGCGGACTCGACCCCCACGAGGGTCCGACGGCCCCCTGAGCGGCGGTCGAACCTCGGGCGGATGGGGCCCCGGACGCATTTTGCTGCCCCAGCCGCCCAGAGCGCGGCGCGGCCTTGCCAGCGCTCGAGGCGGCGAGGACCCCGCCCACGTATCGCTTGCAAAAAGGAGAGAGATGTCGGCCATCCGATCAAGGCCCCAGCTCGTCACCAGTTCGTGTTGGGGATCTTCGCCGGCTTCGCCGCCTTCTCCGCCGCGTGCCTGGAGGTTGGCCTCAACGTGGGGTGCCCCATCGAGATCTCCAAGGGGCCCCACATGGACGTGTCGAAGCCGAGGGCCCAGAGGCACATCATCAAGGGCTTGCTCAGGCGGGGGCTCGTGTGGTACCTGCATCTGGGGACACCCTGCACTACCTGGTCGAGGGCCCGCACGACGGGCTCGAGCTCTGCTGTCTTGGGGGGCCTTCAGCTGGCCAAGTTCACGCTGGATCTCATCAAACTTTGTAAGCGGTACGGAGTCCTCTACTCACTCGAGAACCCGCGTTCATCAAGGCTTTTCACTTGGGAGCCCCTCAGGAAAGAGCTACAGATCCAGAACGCTATCTTCGTCCGATACGATAACTGTGCATATGGAGCCGGATATCTCAAGCCTACCCTCCTGGCCACGAACATGGAAACCTTGCGAGGGCTACATCGTCTGTGTCCTGGAAACCATCAGAATGAGATCCTCGACGGGAAAGTTCTTCTTCCCCCAGGCCCTGGACATCCTCGAGGGCGCTGGGCTCGGAAGCCCACTTTGGCGGGGCGCTATCCTCCCCGACTATGCCGTTCCTGGGCCGCCATCTTGGCCCGATCTGCGCCAGTCTCGGCCCGCGGGGGAGAAATGGGAAGCTGACCTGGCGCGGGCCTGTGGCTGCCCCGCCCCTGGCCGCATCGACCGACCTGTCTGCTCGAGGTGCTACGAGTGCCCGTGGGAGGACGCCGTCAAGCACTGGGGCCAGAGGCTGGTCTGGGTCGGCCCCCGGCGGGCAGCCAACCGATCGAGATCGGCGACGCGCTGCTAAGGCTGCCAGCCGGCGGGCCGCAGCCGGACACGACCCCGTCGAGAGGTACCTGGAGCGCAGAACCGTAGGTAAGGGGACGCTCCTGAACTACGAGACGTGCTCCGCGGACTTCGTCAGGTGGGCCAGCTCGCAGGCCCCACCGAGGCCGCTGGCACCCTTGCAGCAGCTGGACGCCAGCCTCTCCGCCGACTTTGACTTTCTCTTCTTCGACGGCTGCGAGCCTTGGGCTGGTCGGCGCGCCCTCTTCGGGCATGCCCACCTGCACGGCATCGTGGCGCCCTCCCGGAGCCTGCCGCACGCCGTGAAGGCGTTGGCGGGCTGGGTCAAGGCCAGCCCTGAGCTCAGCCGCGACCCGTGCCCCTGGGTCTTCGGGGCCATCGCGTTCCACTGGCTCGAGCTCGACACGACCGAGGCCATCCTGGCGGCGGCCTGCGGCGCGCTCCAGTTCGACACCTACTTGCGGCCTGACGCGGCGGTGGGCCTCTCCCGGGAGCACGTCGCGCTGCCCTCTGGCTCGGCTGGCCGCCGATGCGACAAGGTGGCCATCGTCGTCGCGCCCTCCGACGGGAACCTGCCGCGGCCCAGCAAGAACCAACAGTTCGACGACACCGCGATGGTGGGTTCGCTCGACCTGTCACGAGGGTGGCTCCGACAGCTGGCGCGGCAGCTGGTGGCCCGCGCCAGGGCGCGCCGTGTGCGGCGCCTGTTCGACGGGCTCACGCCGGCAGCCTACGAGCGCCTCTTCCGCGAGGCCGCACGGCACTTGCAGGTGGAGGCGCTCAGGGCGTCGCCCCACACGCTGCGACATGGCGGCCCTGCCCTTGACTACCTCAACGGCTTCGCCACGCTGTCGGTGCTGAAGAAGCGTGGCGGCTGGCTCAGCGACCGCTCAGTGGCGAGGTACGGCAAGGAGGGCCGACTCTTGCGGCAGGTGAGCCGACTCTCGCCCCAGCAGCAGCGTCTCCTCAAGCGTGCCTCGGACCGGCTCGAGCAGAAGCTACTCCGAGCCACCAATGTGCAGTTTCAATCTCGTTCGTGAACGCTTCGATATCCTGTCTCTCTGTCCTCGCACGCGTGACTAAAGTCGCCCCCACCCGCCCGCCCGTGAATCATATTGTGGGTTGTGGGTGATGGCTGTTGAATTTCTCGGAATTCGTTCTGTTCAGTTTCGCGCGCGGGCTCCCGGGAGCCCCCCAGCGATCAGCTTTCTCAGAGCCGCAGTCGACTTGCAATTCAGCCAGCCCTTCTTCTAGCGAGATGGCCTCTCCGAGGCAGACAGTTGCCAGACTGGATTGATGCGAGAGCTCTGGGGCTTCCCTCCTCTCTTGCCGCTCCTCGCCCCTGCTGGTCAGGTCCTCGGATGTAGCATCTATTCATCAGTCTCACGAGTGTAGATTCGGAATACAGTTTCTGGCCCGAGGAGGCGCCGTGCGCCTGCTCCGACAGCGTGTCTCCTCGCCTGTCTTCCTCCATAATCGCATTGGCTCACAGTGACCCACCCACCCTGCCCTGAACGCAAAGGGCAGGCTTTTCCTTTGGTGATGGCTGTTGAATTTCTTTGAGTTCGTTCTGCTCAGTTTCGTGCGCGGGCTCCCGGGAGCCCTCCAGCGATCAGCCTTCTCAGAGTCGCAGTCGAATTGCAATTCAGCCAGCCCTTCTTCTAGCGAGATGGCCTCTCTGAGGCAGACAGTTGCCAGACTGACTGGATTGATGTGAAAAGGTGTGCGGCGAGAGCTCTGGGGCTTCCCCCTCTCTTGCCGCTCCTCGCCCCTCCTGGTCAGGTCCTCGGGTGTAAATATATATATATAATAATATATATATATATATATATATATATTATATATATATATATATATATGTATATGTATATATGTATATATACATATGCAGTTCCGCCTACACACCTATATTCATCAGTCCCACGATTGTAACTTCGGAATACAGTTTCTGGCCCGAGGAGGCACCGAGTGCCTCCTCCGACAGTGAGTCCTCTCTCCTGTCTTCCTCCTTAATCGTTTTGGCTCACAGTGATTCGGGGCCCCCTGTCGGCGACAATCGCATGGGTGGGGATCCCGCTGCCGCCGTCCATCTGTTCTGGGCCGTGGCCCGCGACATCGCGGGACTTGGGCAGCGGTGCCCGGACGTCTCGCTCAGCTGCCCCGAGCAGCAGTGCCCCAGTTGCCCGGGCCTCGTCTGCCCGGACTCCAACGCCTGCTACCAGTCGGTGGGCGAGCTCGTGGCGGCTGCGCGGGGGCAGGCGCCGGTGACGTGCCCGGCGCAGGAGGCCTGCGCGGAGTGCCCCTCGGAGGACTGCGGCTACCCGTGGCTCCTCATCTTGGCCCTCTGCCTCCTGGCGCTGGGCTGCGGCGCCGGCGGGCGCTCTGGGGCGACTGGCGTCGCGGCGCGAGCGGCGACCGATCGCGCCTCCTGAAGCTGAGCCTCTTCTGGACTCGAGGGCACTGGGGCCCCTCGCCACGACGCCGCCTACTCTTCGACTGAGGAATGGCGCAGCATAAAGCACTGGACATTCCAGAAAAAAACAAGTGCCCATTGACTTCTTCGGAGACGAGAACGGGCTGAACTGGCACGCCCGCATCGTGCTCATCCCTGGGGGCCAGGGAAGATGGATCGTTTGCTCACCAACGCTGGCGGTGCAGGTGGCTGATCTGTCGACTCATCGGGTCAAGATTCTTCGGCGCGGCGAGCCGATCGACCCGCTGTACCTACGCGAGGCGTTCGTCTTCGACGAAGACATCGACGAGGGCGAGCTGGCTCGCATCAGGGCCGGGGCCTACGAGCTCGCGGAGGTCGCAGGCTTCGACTTGACGGGCGGGGTTCAAGGCTGCTGGTGGGCCGGTGGCTGCTGTGGAGAACGCGCAGTGGCGGGTAGCGGACACGGCCCTCAAGGCTTTCGGGGAGATCGTCCCTCTGGCCGCCCTTCGGCACCAGGAGGGGCGCACGCTGGGGGAGAAGGCCGGCTGGGTCACGATCGACGACGAGTGCGTCTTGATCCAGCAGGTCGTCGACGAGAAGTTGGAGACCTGGCTGTCGGACAAGCGAGCGGGGCCAGGGCGCGATCCCCGCCTGCTGGGGGACGTCCGGGAGCATCGAGGGATGAGGTTTCTCGACCCGGACGCCGCGACAAATAAGCAGAAGAAGCAGAAGATGCCCTACGAGCCGTTCGAGGGCCCAGAGGCTGCCGACGAGTACATGCTGAATATGTTGAGAGTCGCCTTCAACTTTGCGACACACAACCTCGATTGGGAGGCCAAGAGCGGCGTCTCACCGAAGTCGGGGCTGGCGCGAGAGCATCGACATCTGTGTGGCGCCCTCTTCGTGGCGCAGTCGGTGGACCAGTGCGACCTGGCGAACAGCCTCTCCAACGAGATGCACATCCGGAGGCTGATCCAGATCGAGGCGGCGGCCCGGAGCAATCCGAAGTCGCCAGATTTCGAGGGGCTCGAGGTCATCATGTCGCACCCGAGTGGCACGGGCGGCGAGGTGACCACCAGGAACTTCACGAGGTGGGTGGCAGAGCGGCAGAAGGACGATGGGGTTCCGCGGCTGTGGCGGGAGGAGAGGGCGGCAGACGAGATGCGCCAGGCGGACAAGAAAGGTCCCGCGCCTGGCGCGGGAGGCAAGTAGCCCTCCCGACCGGAGGCGCCGTCGCGCTAAGCGCTGGGTCCCCAGGCGCTGGGCTTGGCACGGCGGCGCCGTCATGCCCGGGGAGCAGAGGGGTATCCGTCAGCATGGAGAGCCCTTCCCAGTTTTGGTACCAGAGCAAGTTCGACCTGAACTACGTGGACTGCCCCGCTACCTCCGACAAAGCTCAGGAGGCGGGCGAGCCGCGAGCGGCGGATCCTTTCGGTGCTGGGGGCCCTCAACCCCCTGGACGCCGGGCCGTCGCGCCCTTTTCGCTCAGCTGGGCGGGGGCGAAGTGCAACAGGAGCGCGCCCCCTCGGACCGAGCAGCCAGTCGGTCTTCGAGCGGGTGGCGCGACGAGTTGGGGCAGCTGAGCGACGCCCGGCCGACCTCAGCGAGCAAGGAGCTCTCAAGGAGCTCCTGCGCACCAAGGACCTGTACGGCCTCGAGCCCAGCTACTTGGGCTCGTACGCCTACGAGCAAGATTCTCGAGTGCGGCATCACGGTGCGGGACGTGCTGGACCTGGTGCCGGCCGCCCAGCGCGAGATGCTGGCAGACCCCGAGAAGCACATCCTCCGCGACGGAGCTGACCTGGAGCGCGCGAACGAGCAGGAGACCCCGTCCACGCCCTACTGGGACCCGAAGCTGCGCTTCTCCAGGAAGGAGCGCCACCGCCTGCTCTCTCGGCTTCGAGAGCTCGGGCTTCTGGGGCTCCCGCGCCCCATCAAGGCGAGGATGGGTATCTTCTTCGCCTCAAAGAAGGACGGGTCACTTCGACTCATCGTCGACGCGAGGGAGGCCAACCGCATGCGTCGCCGCCTGCCCCACACGTGGCTGGGCACCGCGGCGGCGCCGGGCTCCCTCGACCTCTCGGAGAGCGCGGTCGGCGACGGGGAGCCGCTGGATGTCCACGCGGCCTCGGTTGACCTCTACAACGGTTTCTACCAGTTCCGGAACCGCAAGCTGGGGTCGCTGTTCGGGGTCGACTTCGCCGAGCGGGCCGTCGTCTGGGGGGTCACCGAGATCTTCGACGAGGACGAGGAGCGGTTCGTCGAGGTTGGCCCGGACGAGATGCTGTTCCCGGTCTTCGAGGGGCTCCCGTCGGGGTGGTCGCGGGCGCTGCACTTCTGCCACGCCATCACCTCCAGTGCCAGCAGCTCTGCCGCCAGCCTCTTGCAGGACCGCCACGTCCCCGAGGCGCCGCGGGCCGGGCTGGCCTACAGGCTGCCGTGCGTTGACAACGCGAACATAATCGGCCTCAGTCGCGGCGCCGCTGAGCGCGGGTTGGCCGCCGTCAAGAGGGACTTTGACAACTGCGGGCTCCGCTACCACGAGGAGAACGCGCCCGCCGAGTCCCATCGAGCTCCTGGGGGTGGAGGTGGATGGTCGTCGCCGTCTTCTTCGACCTAAGCCTCGCCGGACTTGGAGGCTCCACCGGGCCCTGCGGGCCGTGCTCCACCGGGGCTGCTGCAGCGGCCTCGTGTTGCAGGTTCTCGCGGGGCACATCGTTCACCACTGCCAGCTGTTGCGCTTCGGGCTCTCGGTGCTTGCCAAAGTGTGGAGCTTCATGGCGGGGCTTGGCGGCCGGGAGGCGCCCCTGTGGGCGTCGCTGCGGTGGGAGCTGGAAGTTTTGTCGTGGCTGCTCTTCTTGGCGGAGGCCCGCCGCGGCGCCGAACCGGCCAGCGTGGCCTTTTGTGGCGACGCGTCCTCCGTCGGGTACGCCCTCCACGCCACCACCGTCTCGAGGCCCGAGTTTCGGGCCGCGGCGCGGCATCGGGAGCGATGGCGCTTCGACGCGGTCGAGCGGAGCGACGACGCCTGGGGGGCCGTGGACGGCTGGTCAGCCGAGTGGCGTGCCTCTGCAGATCCAGGCGGCCTCCTTGCACGCGGACCTCGCGACCCCGGCGGCGGCCCCGCTGCCCGCTGCAGGCCATGGCGCGACCTCGAGACGATCGAGCGCACGGCCGAGGAGGTGGGGATCCCGCCGCTGCCGGACGCGCTGCTGGCGAAGAGGCGCTGGGCCATGGTCATCAAGGGCCCCTGGAAGCACGACGGGGTCATCCATGAAAAGGAGGGCCGCGTGCTGCTCATGGGCCTGGCGCGCGCCTCGAGGCACCTGCCCCTGCACGGGAGGCGGATCCTCTCGATCGGGGACAACCTGTCGAGCATCTGCAGCTTCGAGAAGGGGCGCTCGGCCAGCTTCGCCCTGCGGAGGCTGAGTCAGCGGGCCAGCGGCCAGCGCCATCTCCGTCGGTTGCGAGCTGGATTGGTCCTTGCGCTACGCGGAGAGCAAGAGGAATCCGACCGACTTCCACTCGAGGGCGGCCGACCGGGGCGAGCTGTCCCGCGGCGCCTCGGTCACCGGCCGCCGTGGGCGCGCCGCGCTGCAGCGCTGCGCGCAGGCCCCAGGGCCCGCGCCGCCCTCGGAGGCGCCCCCGGCGCGGACCTGGACCAGAGTCCGCCGGCCGCCGGCCTCGCGTTCCGGCCCGGGGCGCACGGGGCCGAGGTGGGCGCCCGGGGCTGACTCGACCCTTGCGAGGGTCCGACGGCCCCCTGAGCGGCGGTCCAACCTCGGGCGGATGGGGCCCCGGGCGCATTTTGCTGCCCCGGCCGCCCAGGGCGCGGCGCGGCCTCGCCAGCGCACGAGACGGCGAGGACCTCGCTCACGTATCGCTTGTAAAAATGAGAGAGATGTCGTCCATCCGGTCAAGGCCCCAGCTCGTCACCAGCTCGCGTTGGAGATCTTCGCCGGCTTCGCCGCCTTCTCCGCCGCGTGCCCGGAGGTTGGCCTCAACGCGGGGTGCCCCATCGAGATCTCCAAGGGGCCCCACATGGACGTGTCAAAGCCGAGGGCCCAGAGGCACATCAAGGGTTTGCTCAGGCGGGGGCTCGTGTGGTACCTGCATCTGGGGACACGTTGCACTACCTGGTCGAGGGCCCGCACGACGGGCTCGAGCTCTGCTGTCTTGGGGGGCCTTCGGCTGGCCAAGCTCACGCTGGACCTCATCAAACTCTGCAAGCGGTACGGCGTCCTCTACTCACTCGAGAACCCGCGTTCATCAAGGTTTTTCACTTGGGAGCCCCTCAGGAAAGAGCTACATATTCAGAACGCTATCTTCGTCCGATACGATAGCTGTGCATATGGAGCGGGATATCTCAAGCCTACCCTCCTGGCCACGCACATGGAGGCCCTGCGAGGGCTGCATCGTCTGTGTCCTGGAAACCATCAGCATGAGATCCTCGACGGGAAAGTTCTTCTTCCCCCGGGACCCGGAGAGCCTCGGGAGCGCAGGGCCTGGAAGACCACTCTGGCGGGGCGCTATCCTCTTCGGTCATGCCGGTCCTGGGCTGCCATCTTGGCCCAGTCTGCGCCAGTCTCGGCCCGCGGGGCCGATGCCGCTTCTCTGGAGAGAAGGGAAGCTGACCTGGCGCGAGCCTGTGGCTGCCCCGTCCCTGGCAGCGTCGACCGGCCCGTCTGCTCGAGGTGCTACGAGTGCCCGTGGAAGGACGCCGTCAGGCACTGGGGCCAGAGGCTGGTCTGGGTCGGCCCTCGGCGGGCAGCCGATCGATCGAGATCGACGACGCGCTGCTGAGGCTGCCAGCCGGCGGGCCGCGGCCGGGCACGATCCCGGCGAGAGGTACCTGGAGCGCAGGACCGTGGGTAAAGGGACGCTCCTGAACTACGAAACGTGCTCCGCGGACTTCGTCAGGTGGGCCAGCGTGCAGGACCCGCAGCGGCCGCTGGCGCCCATGCAGCAGCTGGACGCCGGCCTCTCCGCCTACTTTGACTTTCCCTTCTTCTGCGGCTGCGAGCCCTGGGCCGGTCGGCACGCCCTCGGGCATGCCCACCTGCATGGCATCGTGGCGCCCTCCCGGAGCCTGCCGCACGCCGCGAAGGCGCTGGCGGGCTGGGTCAAGGCCAGCCCGGAGCTCAGCCGCGACCCGTGCCTTTGGGAGGTCTTCGGCGCCATCGCGTGCCACTGGCTCGAGCTCGACACGACCGAGGCCATCCTGGCGGCGGCCTGCGGCGCCCTCCAGTTCGACACCTACCTGCGGCCGGACGCGGCGGTGGGCCTCTCCCTGGAGCAAGTCGCGCTGCCCTCCGGCTCGGCTGGCCGCCGATGCGACAAGGTGGCCATCATCGTCGCGCCCTCCGACGGGAACCTGCCGCGGCCCAGCAAGAACCAGCAGTTCGATGACACCGTGACGGTGGGCTCGCTCGACCCGTCGCGCGGGTGGCTCCGGCAGCTGGTGCGGCAGCTGGTATCCCGCGCCAGGGCGCGCCGTGTTCGGCGCCTGTTCGACAGGCCCACGCTGGCGGCCTACGAGCGCCTCTTCTGCGAGGCCAGCCGGCACCTGCAGGTGGAGGCGCTCAAGGTGTCGCCGCGCACGCTGCGGCATGGCGGCCCCTCCCTCGACTACCTCAACGGCTTCGCCACGCCTCCGGTGCTGAAAAAGCGAGGCGGCTGGCTCAGCGACCGCTCCGTGGCGAGGTACGGCAAGGAAGGGCGTCTCTTGCGGCAGGTGAGCCGGCTCTCGCCCCACCAGCAGCGCCTCTTCAAGCGCGCCTCGGACCGGCTCGAGCAGAAACTGCTCCGAGCCACCAGCGTCCAATTTCAGTCTCGTTCGCGAACGCTTCGTTATTCCGTCTCTCTGCCCTCGCACGCGCGACTGAAGTCGCCCCAGCCCGCCCGCCCGTGCATCATATTATGGGTTATGGGCGACGGCTGTTGAATTTCTCTGAATTCGCCCTGCTCGGTTTCGCGCGCGGGCTCCCGGGGGCCCTCCAGCGATCAGCCGGCTCGGGGCCGCAGTCGAATCGGAATTCAGCCAGCCCTTCTTCTAGCGAGATGGCCTCTCTGTGGCAGACAGTTGCCAGACTGGATCGATGTGAAAAGGTGTGCGGCGAGAGCTCTGGGGCGCCCCTCCTCTCTCGCCCCTCCTCGCCCCTGCTGGTCAGGTCCTCGGGTGTAGCATCTATTCATCAGTCTCACGACTGTAAATTCGGAATGCAGTTTCTGACCCGAGGAGGCGCCGAGTGCCTCCTCCGACAGTGAGTCCTCTCTCCTGTTCCCCTCCTTAATCGCATTGGCTCACAGTGACCCTGCCCTGAAAAAACAGGCAGGCTCTTCCCTTGGCGACGGTTGTTGAATTTCTCTGAATTCGCCCTGCTCGGTTTCGCGCGCGGGCTCCTGGGAGCCCTCCAGCGATCAGCCGGCTCGGGGCCGCAGTAGAATCGGAATTCAGCAGCTTCGGGTGCAACATAGAAATAGATAAATATATATATATAGAGAGAGAGAGAGGAGAGAGAGAGAGAGAGAGAGAGAGAAGAGAGAGAGAGAGAGAGAGAGAGAGATGTATGTGTATATATAGCCCTCCGCACGCACCAATAACCCCCCTTTCTTCAGAGCGTGAATTACCTCCCCCGCTTTCGCTTCCAGGCAAAACCAAGTCATACCACGCGCCTCCTCGTCAAGCGGCCTGGCCAGTACAGGCTGCAATTTGGCATCGTTTGGTATCTCTTGGAAGCGAGGGTGGTCAAAAGCGAGGTAGGTTTGTTTTCCCCCTATTTCTCCAGATTATATGAATTCATGAATGATTCCTACGATTTTCTGACTTTATGCCGAGGCTCCTTGTTGGAAGACTCTCCCAAGTCATTTTGAACTTGACAATAATCTTCTACTCAACTCCCTCCGTCTCCAACACACCCAGTACTCAACGCCCTCCGTCTCCAACACACCACCCGATACTCAACAGGCCCCCATCCCCAAGCTGAACTTGCGAACGCCCTCCTACTCAACTCCCTCCGTCTCCTACACATCATCCAGTACTCGACAGGTTCCCTCCCCAAGATGAACTTGAAAATTACCTTTTACTCAACTCCCTCCGTCTCCAACACACCATCCAGCACTCACCACCCTCCGTCTCCAACGCACCACCCGATACTCAACGGGCTCCCTCCCCGAGCTGAACTTGACAATAACCGTCTACTCAACTCCTTCCGTCTCCGACACACCATCCAGCACTCCACACCCTCCGTCTCCAACGCACCACCCGATGTTCAACGGGCCCACTCCCCGAGCTGAACTTGACAATAACCTTCTACTCAACTCCTTCCGTCTCCAACACACCATCCAGTACTCGACGCCCTCCGTCTCCAACACACCACCCGATACTCAACAGGCTCCTTCCCCAAGCTGATCTTGAAAATACCCTTCTACTCAACTCCCTCCGTCTCCCACGAACCACCCAGTACTCAACGCCCCCCGTCTCCAGCACACCGCCCGATATTCCACAGGCGCCATCCCCAAGCTGAACTTGAAAATGACCTTCTACTCGACACCCTCCTTCTCCAACGCACCACCCGATACTCAACGGGCTCCCTCCCAAGCCGAACTTGAAAATCACTTTCTATTAAACTCCTACCGTCGCCTACACACCACCCAGTACTCACCACCCTCCGTCTCCAACACACCACCCGATACTCAACCGGCTTTTTTCCCCAAGCTGAACTTCAGAAGAACCTGCTACTCCACTCCCTCCGTCTCCTACACACCACCCGGTACTCCATGCCCTCCGCCCCCAACACTCCACCCGATGCTCCACGCCTGTCTTCTCCATCACACAACCAACCTTTTTGTCCACGCTTCTTCCTTTACGGTTGCAGCGCGCGCCTTCCGCCCCCCTTTTCTCTCGGCGTCTCCCAAGAGAAAAGGGCGGGTCATGGTGCGCGCTGGGACATATATGTGCGTGTATAGCTATCTACAAGTATCCATCGACATATAAATATTTATACATATGGGCAGATACACACCTATAGACATATGTTCATATTTGTGCTTAATTAAACATACATATTGTATATATGGATTGTATGTGTTGACATATGTGTATGCTATATCTAGATGGTGGTGTCGGTGATGATTGTGGGTGGCCATGGTGGTGGCGGCGGTGGTGGAAGCCATGTGACATGACGGTTTTTGGCACATGCTGGTGCACCGTGGCGCGATGCCAGCGTCACTTGGTGGCGTGCCCACTTCTATGCCGAAGGCCCGTGCCTACTTTGGTTGCGCATGCTCGAACGGCTGCGCATTCGAGAAATAACACACTCCGATTGCAGTCGCACCCGTGTTCAGAACACTTGGTGCCACGCAGCCGCACGGCGACAAGTACACATAGTGGACACCGTTGTTGCCAACATTTACAATGTCGCCCGCGCCGCCCGGAAGCGAAGCAGCGCCATATGCGGGCGGCGCCCGTGGCGAGACTGCAGAAGCCGGCGCGCGCAGAATGCAGCATGTTCGGAATCGCGGTTCAAGTGCGACGGCCACGACAACAAGCTCGTCGGCGTATTCCGAAGAAGACAGCCGACGCACCCACTTCCTGCACACGTTGTCGGCGCGCGCGGGGCCGCGCACATCGAAGGTGGCAAACGCCAGGCAGAGCTTGGCCATGCGATCTGGCCGCGCCATGGCTGCGGCTGCGCCGCCGCAGAAATGCGCCCGCAGCGCTTCGGCGCGCACTCCCAAGTCGGCGCGCCGCGCGCTCGGGGCCGCGCGCGCCGGCGCACCCCTGGCGCGCGCCCTCGCCAAGGACAAACACGCGGAGTGGTCACTTGGCAGAGCCCGGGCCAGAACCCTTTCGTTGCTTTCCGCCAAGCCAGGCGCCAAGCTGACCAGAAGCACGCGGTGGAGGTTCCACCTGCGTACTGACCGAAATCCCACACCGTCGCGCTGCGCTGAAAGTGATCCCGACCGCGCTGCTTGCACTCTTCGAGCACGGACAAGTTGGCCAACTTTTGGGCGTCGGTGGATTTACTGATTGACGCAGGAATCGTCGAAAGCGGGCCTTGTTGTCCTGCTTGGCGCGCTCGTCGTCGACGCCGTTCAGTGGAAGCAGGAGCGCCGTGCCGAACGAGAACGACGAGCTCTCCAGCGCGCGGGCGACGTCATCAGATTGGAAGCCCATGTCCTGCATGGTCTGCGCTGCAGAGTCTTCGCTCCCAGTGTCTTCGCGCTGCGTCGGGGCTGCCTCGCCGGGCTGAGCGGGGGCCTGTGCCGAGGAGCATCTGGGGCCGCGAGTCTCCGAGGGCGCCGATGACTGGCAGAGCCTGGTCACCGACCCGTCGCCTGCCTCACGCGGGCCCCCCACGGGCTCGCGTTCTCTGGTTTCGCATTTCTTCTCAGCGCGGAACGAGGCCGCGAAAGCCCACGGCCTGACGCCCTTGCGACCGCACTTCTCCGAGCAGCACTTCGCAGCGCCATCGGAGACTGGCGCCGCGCCGTCGTCGGCGAGCGTTGCCCGCAAGTCAGAGATCTCGCTGTCAGACGGCCCCCTCTGCTCCAGCGCGCGGGCCGCCTGCTCGAAGCGGTCTTCGCGCGCTCGCGCGAGCGCCCTGGGGCCGCGCCCCGCCGCGCCAGATGCCCCGGAAACAAGGCGCCCGCTTTGGCTTCCAAAGCCGACCTGGCTTCGAAGTCGCGGGCGAGGCGCGCGGCCAGGAAGTCTTCGATGGTCGATGGGCGGGAGTTCGCGGAGCGCCATGCGCCCCCAGCACATCGCGCGCGTCCGAGACGCGAAGGCAAGCCCCAGCTGGCTCGCGCAAGACAGCCGGGCGCCGGCGAAGGAAACGACGCACCCTTCGCGAGGTGATGCTTTGAGATTCGCCCATCGCGAGAGTCCGAGCCCCCTTGCGCGACCGGCGCTGGGCATGGCGTTCTTGCCCACAACTTCCACGCAGGTGGCATGCACCCACGCCTTGGACAAGTTCGCGAAGCGCGGCGGTCGGCGCAGCCCAGGAAATCGGCCGCGACGAATTCAGGCAGGGGGCGGGCCCCCAGACCTATCGGGTTGTTGCCCGGCCGCGAACTCGGAGAGCCAGATCCTGCCAGCGCGCCGCCGTCCACGCGTAGCTCGCCTGGCGCCGCGCACAAGACCGCAACCGCGACTCCCCGAGCTCCATTCATCAGACCAAGAGGCACGGCCCCGACGCCCCACCACCGATTTCGCGACAGCATCACACGCGCTCCGACGCATAAGTGCGTTGCTCTGCGCACGTTGTGGAACGCTTGCTTTTCGCGCCCCACCGCGCCCACGGCTATGGCGCGCCTCGCACCGAACAACAACGTGGACCGAGCTGGCAGGGCCCAGCACGCCATGGAATGCCCTTGCTGCAAGTTGGCCGCCGTTGATCTCGGCCGCAGGCGCATTCTCTGGCGCGAGCAGCACGGCTTCGCGGAGCATGTGCTCCCCGCCTGGCCATGGGCGAGCCGCTTGGGGGCTCGCGTCGCCCACCTCGCGCGTTTTCCACAGAGCGTAATCCTCTGCGGTTCAGGCGGAATCCCGGACTCGCATGGTGGAGTCATTGAAACGTTCGATTCCATTTTGACGGCATATCCGCCGCAGACGAATCACGCCCTCAAAAGCGTCAAACTCATGCTTCCCGGCGAGCGCCGTGGATCTGGCAACCGCTCCGCCGCTTTCAATGGGGGGCATCCCCGCCATCGAGCTCGCACTCAGCACGGGCGACAGCCGGGCGAAGTCGCCCATCGAGAGCACGCCAATGCTTTCCGACAGGGCCCATGTCGCCTGGCGGCGGGCACCGAAGAAATCGCCAGCGCCAGAGAATTCGGGCCACCCGCTGCATGCGGCGACTGACCGCACCCAGCGGCGCGGCGCCACAGGTAGATACCTCCTCGATGACCAGCAACTCCGCGGACTCCAAGTCACTCGCGAGATTGTCGAGCGCGCCTCCGGTCAAGTCCTGCACCGCGCCACCGCGGTCCGCATTGGTGGCCATGGATGGAGCCCGCTCCCAAATTGGCCGAGGCGACGCCCGCGATGGCCATGGTGAGCACGGTGTCGCGCGACTCGAGCAACAGGCGAACCTCCGCGACGCCCATTTTGGCCGCGCGAGTTTTGCCGGCACCAGCCGCCCCGAGTAGGCAGACGCAATGCCGGCGGCGGGCGGGGCGCAGCGCGCCCAGGCATGCTCCTCGAAACGTTTCTCGGCCCACTCACTCAGCGCGTCCACGACATGCTTCTGGGCGGGGTCCAAGCTTGCAGTCCTCGAAACGAAATCGGATTGCTGCCTGGGCCGGCGCGCGTCTGCCTTGAATCCGCGGCCCACGGCGGCCAGGCCCGCGTGGGAAGCGTTGGAGATGCCAGCGGACGCACGCGCGAAGTCGGCCCGACTGAGCGGCTGCGCGCCCCGCCCTGCGTCCCAGCCCACAGCGAGAGGGCCGACAGAGTCTGACGCATGCGG